ACAAGAGTGTCCCACAAGAGTGTCCTACAAGAGTATCCCACAAGAGTGTCCTACAAGAGTGTCCCGCAAGAGTCTCCCACAAGAGTGTCCCGCAAGAGTCTCCCACAAGAGTGTCCCACAAGAGCGTCCTACAAGAGTGTCCCACAAGAGTGTCCCATATGAGTGTCCCACAAGAGTGTCCCACAAGACTGTCTCACAAGTGTGTCCCACAAGAGTGTCCGACAAGAGTGTCCCATAAGAGTGACCCACAAGAGTGTCCTACAAGAGTGTCCCGTAAGAGTGTCCCACAAGAGTGTCCTACAAGAATGTCCCACAAGAGTGTCCTACAAGAGTGTCCCCCAAGAGTGTCCTATAAGAGTGTCCCACAAGAGTGTCCTACAAGAGTGTCCCACAAGAGTTTCCTACAAGAGTGTCCCACAAGAGTGTCCCACAAGAGTGCCCTACAAGAGTGTCCCACAAGAGTGTCCTACAAGAGTGCCCCACAAGAGTTTCCTACAAGAGTGTCCCACAAGAGTGTCCCACAAGAGTTCCCTACAAGAGTGTCCCACAAGAGTGTCCTACAAGAGTGTCCCGCAAGAGTGTCCTACAAGAGTATCCCACAAGAGTTTCCGACAAGAGTGTCCCACAAGAGTGTCCCACAAGAGTGTCCTACAAGAGTGTCCCACAAGAGTGTCCCACAAGAGTGTCCCACAAGAGTGCCCTACAAGAGTGTCCCACAAGAGTGTCCTACAAGAGTGTCCCACAAGAGTGTCCTACAAGAGTGTCCCACAAGAGTGTCCCGTATGAGTGTCCCACAAGAGTGTCCTACAAGAGTGTCCCACAAGAGTGTCCTACAAGAGTGTCCCACAAGAGTGTCCTACAAGAGTATCCCACAAGAGTTTCCGACAAGAGTGTCCCACAAGAGTGTCCTACAAGAGTGCCCCAGAGTTTCCTACAAGAGTGTCCCGCAAGAGTGTCCCACAAGAGTGTCCCACAAGAGTGTCCTACAAGAGTGTCCCACAAGAGTGTCCCACAAGAGTGTCCTTATAGAGTGTCCCACAAGAGTGTCTCACAAGTGTGTCCCACAAGAGTGTCCTACAAGAGTGTGCTACAAGAGTGTCCCGTAAGAGTGTCCCGCAAGAGTGTCCTACCAGAGTGTCCCACAAGAGTGTCCTACAAGAGTGTCACGTAAGAGTGTCCCACAAGAGTGTCCCGCAGCAGTGTCCCACAAGACTACAAGAGTGTGCTACAAGAGTGTCGAGTGTCCTACCAGAGTGTCCCACAAGAGTGTCCTACAAGAGTGTCACGTAAGAGTGTCCCACAAGAGTGTCCCGCAACAGTGTCCCACAAGAGTGTCTCACAAGAGTGTCCCTTAAGAGTGTCCCACAGCCGCAGTTGTGGATTTTTTGTATTATGTGGACGGTTATCATTTTCAAGTGCTTCTTTTCGAGCTTTTGGGACAATGCCGTTGTTTCTTTCGTGATGTGGATTTGCCAGAACCTTTACGCCAGTGCTTGATTTGAATGCAACACGAAGACCCTTCATGACGAAGACGGAGCTTGATGGTGAAGTCCCCAGCACATGCTGCCTTGGTGGTGGATTCCCCAGCGCATGATGTCCAACAGCGTACCGGAGTGTGAAAAAGATAATCTAACCGGCTGTGTCTCTTTCTATACACAGTGGATTGACATATGTGTTTGCATTCGGGTTCGTGGGCTCCATCTTGTTTCTTTTGCATCTTGGACTCGATCAATGTCCATGAGCATGGGTCCTTGATAGTCTGCACTGCTACTTGCAACCATTGAAGTAGCCCACTTCTGCTGAGAACGAACCCATTGCAACACTTGTTCCCTCAAAGTTGAGTATTGAACATTGTCGCCAATTGTCAAATTCGAGTAAGATTTGAGTTGCCCACCTGCACACCTCAAAAGAATAGCAGATTTCAACTCTTCTTGAATTGTTGTCCCTGCGCTGACCGTCTCATCAAATTAAGCAGTTGAGGTTGTAGGGCACTGTTCATTGAAAATGCTGGCTATGTAGTGGCTGTTCCCAAAAGTACTGGTCCTCTAGCCTTTGAAGTAGGCTTCAAAGCTTTGTAGGAAACTCCTCCAGGCATCAAATCCATTGGAGTCCTCCACAGTGTTCACCAATTGTAGTGCTCTTCCCCTCATCAACGAAGCTAACAGTCCATAGAGCTTGATGCACCTGGTCTTCTCTTCTCCAGTTGGCAAGTCAATGCAAAATTCAAATTTGGCTTGTCATGAATTTCCTTCAAGTCCTCCATGTAAGCCTCATCTACTGAGCATAGATGCTTCTCAAATACCCGACCACTCTCTGAAAGCTTTGATCTCTTCTTCTTGTGCATTGTGATCAAATACGTTGGGCTGTGTGATCAACTTTGACCAATCAGTTGTTAGTTTCTTCTTGTCTTCAGCTGCTTTCTTTACTGCCTCAGCTGCTGGTGCTGTTGCTTGCGTACTCCCGGCCTCTACTTCAAGGATTTCTCTTAACTCCTCCATTGTCACCGCACAATAATGTCCTTCTGACACAATGTACGGGGTACAGAGTGCAGCTCACAACAGTTTGTCACCGGTTCAGCTGCTTGGGTTCCAAAGCTTAGGGGCTTTTCTCTGGAGCTCAAGGGGGGTTGCCCTTACCCTTGCTCCGCTACCATTCGAACTTTTCTTGACACTCACAAGGGCTGCGGTCAGGTCAAAGTCAACATGTACATGCTATACTGTACAATTCTCCTTTCATCTACATTGAACGCTCTTCACAAATATAGTGTATATATATATATCGTTGTGCATGCTATCAACATACATCAACGATAAATGTGTCAAAGGGTCATCTTTGCACATTCCAGCCTGATGACAAAGGAGTTGTTCCTATGGTATCTCAGTTAGCTCCTGACATTGACATAGGATGTCATGTTCTTGAAGCGCAATGGGTCTCCAGATGTCTCCAGCATGTTTTTATGGTAGCAACATTGCCCACTCGGACGAAGATTGGCAAAATATTCAAACCCTTCGGACTGTGACCTGATGACATAAACTCCCACCGCCAAAAAGCTCCACCAACGAGGAGTGTTTCAGCAAATGGAGGATGATGACGGAAACAAGTTTCAACCCCAACGGCATTCAAAGGCTTGTGGCAGTCAATAGCTCAGGGAGGTCAATATTTTGTCCATCTACTGTAGCTTGTATGGGACATCGTCCTCAGCAATCCCTTCTCAGGTTGGGAGGCTACTTTGAGGAGACTTACTAAAACCTATCTGTTTGGATCTGTTTGGATCTGTTTGGATGAACTGACTCTCGTGGAGTTCATCAGTCATTTCGTGGTGCCTTTTCGGGAGGTTCATTGAGATTATGAGATCTCAAGCTGCATGAAGGTCTGCTCGTCCATCGGAAAACCTGGACAGCTTGGCCTCATCCTCCTGCTCCGCCTGTTGGGATGCTGTCGGGTTTGGAAGTAGGAGAAGGAGCTGGGAGTCCTGGTGAATGATTGCTTGAAAGCACGGATCGGGGCATGGCCCAATGCCGGATTTCTGAGTCAACCCATTTGGATCCATTTGGGCATTGCAGCAAATATAATAACAGAAGACAGAATCTCATCTATCGCGTGGGTCAGAGTATCATCGGTTCTCTCCTGGTTCTTCACGAGCCCCTGGACATAAAGAAGTCTGTTCAGCCGCTGAACCCGACCTTTTTCCGTCGAAAAAACACCCCCCATTCAATGAGGTTGGACAATTCAACCAGCTGAAGCTTGTGGTTTCTTTATGTGTCTTTGTTCACAACTTCAGACTGTCCATGACGTGCCATGGCTCGTCTGCGTTTCTGACCAACGTTCACCGTGCCACGCCGTCTGCGTCCATCCGCCTAAAGGACACTCTCTGACGAACACTCTCTGACGAAGAGACGAACACTTTCTGACGAACCACGAAACTCATGGTTACGTGGATGGCGTCCCATGGTGGAAGACTGCTGTCCTCTACAAACGGGGGGTGAATTCAACGAAACCATGTTAGTGAGTCGAAAATGTAAAACAGGGACATGCTACGTGCACCAGGCACCGGCTACCAAAGCCACCACGATCCTCCGACACCGAACTGGACCGTCCAGTGGAGGTCAGCCCCATGGATGGATGGTGCTACTCCCAGATGCTCCCAGATCTTTGAACAGTTAGAATTGGACCGGTTAGACCCCACCCCTTTCTTCACCGGTCAAGCTGGTTGACTGATCACCGGTCACCGGTCTGGGCATTTGCACCCAGATGATCTCTTCCGTTCGTCACAACAACAACAACAACAACAACCACCAGCAGCAGCAGCAGCAACAGCAACAACAACAACAACAACCACAACCACCACCACCACCACCACCACCACCACCACCACCAGCAGCAGCAGCAGCAGCAGCAGCAGCCGCCATCACCAAAAACAAATGTCGCCTCCTCGTAGTCTTCTTCCTCCAGCAGCTGTTGCCTTGCTGCTCTGGGCCCAAACCAGCGGCTTTGAAAACGCGACCCGGGTGGAGAGTTCAGAGCCACAAACTCATGCCTTTCGACGACAAAGTCATGTTGTCTCCACCCACGGGCCTCCAAACTAGATCATTTAACCACCTCTCGAAAGCCTTTCTTGAAGAAAACAATGAAAAGCATGCGCCTTGGATCTACAACACGGTCGCTGGTGCTGAGGTCCTTTCACAAGCCGGATAAGTTCTCAATTTAGAGATATTTAGAGGGTTTATGCATCAATTGGCATGCCGACACATTGCTGTTTGGCAAATCTGGGAGGTCTTCGTGACTGTAAAAGAAAGACCACAACCCAAAGACTCTGTGGCCGCTGCGGCTGCTCGTGGGCATGTGTAAAAAAGCTCCCTTGGAGTATTCCGTGCGCATTATCCCCTGGCCACTTTGACGGTTGAAGGAACACCTGAAGAGACCTCCCAAAGACCCCATTGGACCAAGGGAAATCGGCCCAACCCCCTTGGGGGCCCAAACCCCTTGGGGCTTCCGATCCACCTCGGGACACACCGGTCCCACATCCCTCGTATTTGCTCCCCCAGTTTCACTCCAAGAGACATCTGGGTGAGATCCAACTTGGGCACGGAGGCTGGCCTGTTGGGGATCGGATCGATCCAAAAAAGACAAAACCGTTGTCACCCAGTTTTCCTGTGGTGGACACCCCACACTTGGTTCGCTTTTGGAAGAGTTGGCCACAGCTGGCAGGATCCGAACTGGGTTCCCAACATTCATGACTATATACCTATTCTGAGCGCCATGCGTTTGACCCGGAGGGTGAGACATGATGAGAATCCAGGTGACTGGCGGGGCCGTCCCCACCAGGTTTCGATCCCGATGGCAAACTTGTGGAATGGGCATGCAATGGCATGCAAAGATATAAACACTCAGTATCATCAGTCTATTGGAATATGCAAAAGCACTGGAGTATGCAAAGATACAAACACTCATGGACACGAGGATTCAGTCTCAGTTGGGTGCAAGAGTTCATCGATGGAGAGATCTGCAACAAGCGATCTGCAACAAGCGACTGGTCCTTTCCCCCACGAGTAGCAAAATAGAATTTCCAAGGAGAATCTTTTGTGATGACTATCCATTCCTGGACTGATGTGTTGTCACAGCCGAACAGGGATGTGTTGGCAACATCCAGCCAAGGCCGCTTGCTGTCCACGCAAGATCAGTTAAGATCCGTTTTCCCTTGCTGTTGCTGGACCCCGCTGCCAAAAAAGACTGCTTTCTTCATGGGTCCGATGTTTAATAAGTCCAATCTGGGTGGATGGAACAAAAAAAGACCTGCAACAAGCCGTCCACCCAGATGGCAGGGTGGTAGACGATGGTTGTCGTTGTGGTTGTTCTTGCGCCAGGTACACGATGTCTTCCTATTCAGTCACCAACCCCGCCCACCGTCCTCTCCCGCCTCGTCACCACCCGACGCTCGGGTCTTTGTGGGAGGATGCCTGCGTGGGTCGAGAATCGGCGGCGGCGATGGCGGGAAAAACCGCCCCCCAAACCCGATCCAAACGAGGACAGCCCACCAAACAAAGGGTCAAGTCTTCTGGCAGTGCTGGAAAGAGTCCGATGTTCTATGATGTTCCTGCTGATCATCATATCTACTCGGACGGTCTATCTGGAACGAGAAGACGGACAAAGGTGGAAGGAAACTCCGTGCATCCGTCCAGTCCGTCGGGTCCGTTGAAGCACCAGTCCCTCAGCCGGTGTCCGGAAATTGGGTCAAGTGGCACCCACTCAACTCAAGGTATATCGTTCACTCAACTCCAAGTGTTCAGCACCCCCAAAATAGCTAAGTCCTCCGAAAATGGCGTGCCTCCCCGAAGCCATTCACCTTTTTGCCGGTCCTTCAGACCGACCGCACTTTCCAGCCCTTCAAACCAAATCCGGCTCAAGGGCCCACCGAAAGTACCGGGGGTGAAACGACCCGGGTTTTTCGGTGTCAGCTTCAGGATGACCCCTGGAGTCACTGGTGCCAACATATCGTCCATGCATGCGGGTGACAAAACGGATATTGTACAGTATATATATTATATATATCAGAGGGCTTCTTGGATGATGGCACGTCCAAACAACAACAGCCCAAAACCCTTAAACACTTCAGAGTTCAGAGGAGATGGCGGAACCGCGCCATCCGAGGGTTCCGGGACCATCCGAAGCATAAAATCGACCGAGTTCGCCGTGTGCTACGTCGACATGGATCGAGTCCGAAGAGAAGGACATCCGAGTCCATCCGAGTCAAGCGACTCGAGCCCTTTGGAGTGAAGGAAGAGTCATCAAAAAATATAACATGTTATTTTAATTTCCTATATGTACCAAAAAATCAAAAGAACACATTTATGTGTACCAAAGGAAGGTCCAGGTTTTACTATATATATATATAATTAGCAACATGTGAATTTCACGTTCTTCTCAAACCTCATCAACATCGGTTTAAGAATATCAAAAGACAAAGTGAGCCGTGTGTGTTTGGGTTTTGGTCCAGTGAGTGCCCACTGCTAGCCATATGGGGTGCCCAACTAACAATAGATGTATCATTGAAAAGGGATCATTAAATTCAACAATGCGACTTTGAGGGTATGTTGCAAAATAGAGGGAGAACCCCCCCAGCCAGACCCCCGAGAAAAAAGACAGACAGTATGGACCCATAGGACAGGGGAGTCTCGAAATGTCCGATCAGCAAAACTGGTGACGGGTCCTAGTTCCAGGCCCCTCAATCCAAGGTGAGAGGGGATTTCTTCCGAAACAGCAGTTCATGTGCCAAATCTTGAGCCTGTCACCACCTATTCTGATACCAGGGAGACCTGACCATCTGCACATCATGGAAGAGGATAGGTTCATAGGGAAGGAGGGGTGCGCACACTAGGAAAACAATGGAAAACACACTAGCCCCATGGATTGGTCGACATGTCTTCCTTGATACATCAGTGGCTTCTTTCTATCTAGTGATCATTCCCATCCATGAATCCATCACTCCCACAAGGACATCTGGTGGACGACGTTGTTCTAATTTGTTCCAGGTTTTGCTCATATATAGTTGTTGCTTATATTAGTCATTATGTCTTGCTGCCCCTTTACAAAACCATCAATTGCTTTGGACATTCCACGCTACTTTCTACATCAGTGATGTTCATCGGTCAAAAAGCTATGGAGCTGTCTCAGAGAGCCACTTCGACGGCCACTTCCCAACGCACTGGGCTGTTGGTGTCGGAAGAGGCTTCATAGACCTGCACAACTGGCCGGCTTAGACCCGTGGGACCTCACGCATTGAGGTGAGGTCCGACAAAAATCGTTTTTTGGGCCGGTCAATCCACTCAAGGTTGCAGGGGTTTTCAAGGCTCGAGGCGAAGAATGGTGAAAAGAAACTTGTAGCAGACAGTGTAGGCCAGTGCTGCAGTCGTAGATCATTAGTTCTTGGCCGTGTCTGTCTTGGTCTCAAAACAAGCCCAACTCCATCATGCTCCGTGTCTCATGTTTGTCTTACAATTAGTGTCACATGGTGCCTTCCCCAAGGGATCAGCACTTCTACTTTGGCCGCCTGGGTGTTACTTCGGCTACACTCCCTGGAATCATCATGGAAGTGGAGTTCACCACCTGTTTGGTATTCGGCAAACGGTCATCCGAAATCGGGACTGCCATCCAGGTACCATGATAATTCGTGCACCTGACCTCTCGCCAACGGACGTGGCTTTTTCAAGGCCCAAAAACAATGCGAAGTCCCAACAGACTAGCTGTTGCTCCCAACGAACTCAGGCAGTTCCTTGGGAGGCTCGCTCTGGGGTTGTGTGTACCGGTTGTCTGCGATGGTTTTTTTTCCAACCCGGATTGGGCCGTGCAACCTCACGATGATCCGCGCGCGATGCAAAGCCCGTCATCCAAACATATGCCAATTTGCGATAGTTTGGTAAGTAGGTAGTAAGGATCCCCATGTCAATGTGAGATGTTCAACCCCATCCAGTCGGCACCATCCACAGTCCGCTTCACCGGCACTCAGTTCGGACCCACCGGAAAACCCGCTGGCCTCGGCCTCCGCCGGAAAACGAGCGCTTCGCGGAACCGCCGGAACGTCCGCATTGATCGGCATACGGTGCGCCTCTTCCCGGTGGTGCATCCGTGGGGAAAGCCACGCCGAGGCCGAGTTCTTCCCCTTGGCACCTGGGGTGGAAGCCGGTGACGGAGCGAGGGCTCCGGGCACCCAGTGACGGAGCGGAGTCAACGCACGAGAGGTGCATTTGGATGGACCTGGTGGACTGGATTGAGCAGGGCATTCGTACGTCGGTGTGGGTGGAGTTGTGGTAAAGCTGACAGCTGGCCGCCAAGGATGTGTAAATCAAGGGTCGGTATAAGGGAATCGTTCATAGTCCCTATAGGTGAGAGGATAATGAGCACCGCCTTTCTCCAAGTTCGGCACCCCGTTGAAAGTTGAAACTCCTAGCTGGTCCTGTCCTCATAAACCCATATACTCCAGGCCTCATCGGCTGTCCCCTGGTTCGCTTGTCGGAATTTCTCTAGAAACACTTGCATGCCAAGAGTTTTGCTAGGATCATCAGAGAAGAGTCATCATTATTTCATCATTTCCCAAAAACAATCCTGGTGGGGGAGTTGCGTCCAAGGTTGCTGGTGGAAAGTTAAAAATCATCTAAGCTAAGCTGATCCAAGAGAGTTACAGTACTCAACATCTTTCATCCAAGGATCTAAGATTGTTTGTTGTGTGCTGCAGTCCTCGCCCCGTTTCGACTGCACACTCACTTTGCGATTCCCCCTCCAGGGTCAGCGAAGGAGTTCGCCCAAAAGCCGAAGGTGAAAGCTTGTGACACCTGTCATTCCTGTCGTGCCCCGAAATGGTACCTTCCAACGGACCACTCGCCGCGCCGCGCCTTTGCCAGTTCCTTTCACCTGCTCCAGCTGAAAATAGGAGAGGGCCTCCGAAGATCGGACCGACAGCTCGCCCCGCTCGGTCCGAAGAAAAGGGCCATGTCCCTGGCTTCATGGTCCCGTCCCACCGGACGCCCCTCGGCGGGCACAGGCGGTCGCTGCGTACCCGTCCCACCTGCCGCAGCAACGGCAGCTTGGCCTTTCGGCAGGGATACCCTGCCGGCAGGGCCGTCGGCCTGGCGAAGGCCGACCGCAGACGACGGACGAGTTGTACGAGTTTCCGCCACACGTGTGGCGCCACACGTTGCCCCACCGCCCTAAGCCTGAAAAGGGATAGTTCATCAGCAATCCCATCCAAAGGTCCAAGCTTTCTTCGATCTTCACTTCGAGCCTGTCGCTCTCGTCGCGCGTACAACGGTCCGCCACGGTCCCCGCGTCGTCCGACGCCGTCCGCGCCCGAAGATCCGATGGAAGCGCAAGATCTGCAAGACGGAGGCGAAGGTCTCCGAATCCTGCACCGAAGAATTCGAGGCGCCGCGGTGGGACCATGTTCTGCACCAAAAGAAAAACGAAGCCTGCCTGAAAGAGGGGAAAACGATAGAAAACATGCGTGGTTGGAAGCATATCGAAGTGTTCACCCATTTTCCCCAGCCACATATTTTGGAACATATTGGAACAACCAATTGTTTCCAGGTGGGTGTGGAAGTGAGACATGGGAGAATCATGGAGACATTGGTAAGATCGGGTTGGTTTACGATTTACCCTTCATGTCCTTCTCCCCATTAAGGTGTTTGTAGTAGGACAGGGCTTTTCTGCTTAACATGGGGATGCGCAGGGGTCTCCTCGTTCTGATACACGCCCAAAATCACTTTGTATTGTTGGAACATCCTTTCCCACCCTTTCCCTACTAGATGCCAAGAAGCTTGAGTGTCTAGAACACTCACCAGAAATAGATACCACGCTCAGCCTGGCCCGGAGCCCTTTGCTCCGCAGGAAGAGCTGCTGATATGCAGGGACCACCTTCCTTCAGCATCACTGGAAGTATTGCATCATTATAAAACATGTTCTTTCAAGATGCCTGACCCACTTCGGTGTCAACGCTTCATAGCAGTGGGACGCTGAGGAGCCAAGGAAGCACCCACACCTGTGGAGAAAGCACCGCTTGAAAAGAAACAGGATTCTAGAAAACCTCCATCTGCATTGAGAAAATCAGAAACGATGGCCCCCAAACCCATTGGTGCAAAAATCCACAAATTGCTTTCAAGGACCGATTAGCCACCTGTGCAAAAAGACACACACACAGCCACACCGATCACCGTTACGACTCCGCCCAGCCTGATCAATCCGCACGGCCTGTCCCAGCTTCTCGCTATCCTGCACCGTCCAATCGCCACCTGATTGTCCCGAACCAGCGTTTTTCACCAAGCGCATTCTGGACACAAAGGAGCCATGTGACCGTGGGTCAAAGCGCAGTACCCTTCGGTTCACATCCCGAACAGGAATTCTGTTCATCGAGTGGTCACTCCTGGGGTCCCCTGGTGCCATGCACCGCCAGGACCCGATGGTTCAAGCA